TTTCGATTTAATATTCCAAAATTTCAGGTTTCCGAAAGTAAATCTGTCACCAGGAAACAGATTAAACCCCCCGCCCCTAGCTCTCCCAAGAGGCATAAATTAAAATTTCATAAATTAAAATTATGTAAAAATTAACATTTACTTACGTAGGTCTAGAATCCGTATTAGGATTTGTACAAGAATATTGATGACACTTGTAATCCTGAAGTAACAAACTGTCTCGTTTTCCTTATATTAACTTCTTCCTTGTCCATATTTACATACAGACACTATACAACTAACTAGATTAATATGTACATTTGTACTGTGCCCGTTCTCTCTATAGATAGTGGTCGTGTAGTTCACGTACTTTAGGGGACGATAGTTTAACCGCCAGATGTCTCTCGTATGAATTATCTATCTATCAGATAAGAATTTTACGTGAAACATCTAACGGCCAAACTATCGTCCCTTAAAGTACGTGAACTTTACGACCACTGTTCAAACATTATTATGGAGAGAACGGTCTCTGCTCTCTATGTGTTTAAGGTCCCCCAGATTTTATTATGTACTGACAACATTATATGGTTACATAAAATTGCGTGTTACTATTTAAAAAAATCTATTTTATGAAAATGATATGTACCGTTTTATTTTCACAAAAAAAAATCTCAAAAATATAAAAAAAAGTTCTCCAGTAATGCTAATGCAATTTCATAAAATTCCGTGTTACCATTTAAATAAAGGGATTTTATAAAAATTATATCTACTTTACATTGATTATTTAATTTCTCAAAAAATGTTCTCCCGGAAAATACGCCTCGTTGCTATACCTAGTGATTTCTATACGTTGGATTTCTATGTTTGACGTAATTTATCCAAGAAAAGGATAAATATAGTTCAATTGCTAGTGCCGTTAACGATTTAACAAACTGTTAAAACAGTTATTACTACAAGAGACCATTAACGGCTGCACCGTTCACGATTTTATAACCGTTAACGATTTTTAGGTGCTTTGCGTCCTTAATACTGAAATAGACCGTTAACGGCTGCGCCATTGTAGATTTTTTCTTCGCTTTGCGCCGTTAATAATGTAATAGACCGTTAACGACTGGAGCCTTTAATGAGTATTGAAAATTTTGCGTTAACATCGTTGATAAAATTGAGATTGGTAACTAACCATAATTTAAAAAAACGTTAAATGCCGTTAACTAAGCGAACGTTCCGTTCTTATCTTTAGAATAAACGGCTACCTGAAGCTTTTATTTTTAACGGTTGTAACTAACCGTTAACGAAACGCGGGCTACTTTGCAGTCGACATTTTCCGCATCGAGAGTAAGCAACCTGGAGAAAAACCTTGCATGGAGTACATTGTTAGAAAGAAACCTAAAAGAAATTGAGCCTTTGCCACAAACTCAAATTTTCTAAACCCCATATCTTTGCAACCGGATGGTGTAAACCTTTGATATTTCAAGCTAAGATTATTCGATCTAAAAAAATGCTTAGTTTGAAATATATAAGGTCTACAACACGAGTTGCAAAGATATAAGGAATAAAACATCAGAGTTGGTTGCAAAGACCATATTCCTTTTTAACTAGATCATTACGACATGACAAAAACAAGCTGTGCGAAATTATAAACATGATGGTAGGGATATGTAAAATTCTTTTATATCCCCAATATTCTGAACGCAGTTTCGAACAAAATTCTTTCGATAAATTCGATATAACAAACAATATGTTAGGATTGTTTCAAACAGTTAGACTTCGTGAACTAACATTTCTAAATTCAATCAACTTCGTTGTTTGCTCATAATCTCAATATTACCAGAGATTTTGTTTCAGATTTTAATTCATCAAAGAAACCAAATTGTCAAAAATCGAGATTTTTGTCATTTTTTAGGATACACTGAGAGAGAGAAATAGATATTAATTGGAAAGATTTTTTCAGTCACGCACCTTTTAACTTTTCAGTCGTGCACCTTTTAACCTTTCAGTCGCGCTCCATTAACAGCCATGATCAAAGAAGATCTTTAAATGTGATCTCTGAATTGTGATGTCCGGTATAAGACTATTGGTATACCTTCTCTATATACTCAACAAATTGTGAGTCTGTGTTTTCATTTGGAAGCTTCCAAATCTTTCTTGAAGACCTGAGATATTCATTGGAGACTTACTAATTTTTTATTTTTGTCGGAGACCCTAAAGATTTTCATCGGAGACCCGAAGAATTAAGATTTTTTATCTGAGACTCCAAAATTTTATCATTATCCAATGAAGATCTTAAAGGTTTGCTTGTATTGAATTGTGCAACATTTTTCCATTCACTCGGACTAGAAACATTGCAAAAATTAAAACAGATTGGGTAAATTATTGTTTTGTGTCTTTTGTAGTATAAATTTTGCGGATTAAAAAAAAATACCATTTTGAATTATGATTCTTGTAAAACATCGAATTTCAGAAAAAAACCTTTTATTGTTTAAAATCAAAAATGATGCCCTTTCTTATTGCATACAGAATTACCCGCAAAGGATGAGACTGTGAAGACGACCTGAAACTCTCAAAATATGGCACTCCTCAGTTGTAATTAAGTTCTCTGTCTCGTATAAGGTCTGTATATGGGTTATTTAATAATTTGGAAAAGAAAGAAATGAGTTTACAGTTGCAGGGAATCATGAATATAAGAAAACACAGTATAAACTCCGTACAGTCGTCTCTGAAGTCTCATCCTTTGTGGGTAACCCTGTATATTGATAATATTAAGTAAAAAGATTGGTGGTGACAGCACCTATCAATAGTGGATTATCTGAAAATGAAAAATGCAATTTTCTAATATTATGCAATATGTCTCCTCTTAAAAGGACTGCAAGCGGATTTCTAAATAACTTTTTTTAAAGAGGATGCACCTGGACGTATCCTAAAATATCCTAAAAAAAATGTTATGAAAGTAGGAATCAATGCGAGCATGATATAGGCAAAAGGCTTAGGCTTTGCGCAATGCGCACGCACATTTTACAGCTCTTTAGAAACATTGCGAGCAAAGGTTAGACATTTCTGGAGAGTGGGGAGGACGAACCCCCATTTCCCATCCCTGACATGTAATTACTTTGTTAAAACCAAATAGATTCTAGTGCAATAGACAACGTAGAATTTGCATACTCTCAGTACAGCTGTTTTCTTACGTCACAAGTGTCAACTTAGTTTTTGTGTCCGACAAAATTATTAATAATAGTGCTTCTCTTACAGTAAAATAAGTGCAACTCTGTGTTTACACATTTTTATTCAATCTTGGGAAACATGTCACCTTATGTGAGAAAATTTCGTTTCCTTGTTATATTTGTCACTTGTGACGTCGTGTATAATTGGCTCCTCTGTTGCCACTTATTGTACTTGATAATCTATTTGGATAAAACCTTGTTTTAGATCATAATGTTTTTTAAATGTTTTAGCAAACAATTTCAAGCTTTTCGAAACCTAATTCCAACGAAAAAAAGATGTTAATTTTTTTCTTATTTGGCTTAGCATTTTAGTTTGGTCAATTCTGGCATCTTTGGTAGGATAAGATAATAATTTAAAATGAATTTTATCGGATTTCTTGTCAAAAATAAACCAGAACAGTCACAGAGAATACTTAGAAGGCTTTATTTTTTAGACATGTCTTATGACCATTTAAGAAAAAAGAAACGGATACCCTGCAATCTACGGTTTAAAAAATATAGGATAACACGACAAGAAAAAAACAGAAGAAAGTCTTGAAATTACAACTCTACGTTCGAGACCAGTAAAAGCTTTATATTTTTTTGAATTCTTAAATATGGATTTTCTATAAAATGGTTTTTAAATTGCTGTCGTCATTTCTTCTATTACCAAAGATGCTTGACTTGAAAAACTAAAATGCCAAAATGTCAAAAACCTGAAGTTGAGATAGCGCAAAAAACGATTATCAGAAATGGAATTAAAATGAGTTCTATTTCACCCTGTGAAGGACAAAGTTAGAATACTTTTTTAAAAAGTGCACAAACTTGCAAACTAATGATTTAATCTTCTCAAATAATTAAACTTGTACACTTAACATGGTAACTACCCTGTACAGTTATCATAGCACACTTAAGTTAATATTGTAATTATCTTGTTCACTGTACACTACGGTTACAATAATGTACACTATATTCAATTAATATTGTAATTATCATGTACAATGTATACTTCAGTTGCAATAATGTACAATATATTCAATTCAATTAATATTGTAATTATCGTGTACAATGTACACTACGGTTACTGTACACTTTACAATCCAGTTACAAGCATGTACAGTGTTTGCTACAGTTAATATTGTAATTATTGTAATTATCTTCTTATCTTATTATCTTATTGTAGTTATCCTGTAAACATATTCTTTGTACATATGTTTAATTTTGTGATTAGGAAGTATAATTGTTGTAAAATTGTAATGTATTCGTACACTGTATACTCCAGTTTCGATATTAATCATCTGGTACACGTTCAATGTACAATGTGCATTAAGTTAAGATTATTATTTTCTTGAAGTTGTAAACTGTACAGTGTACATACTTCACTGTCAGTGTACATACTACACTGTACAGTGTACATACTACACTGTACAGTGTACATACTACACTGTACAGTGTACATATTACACTGTGCAGTGTACATACTACACTGTACAGTGTGCATACTACACTGTACAGTTTACATACAACACTGTACAGTGTACATACTACACTGTACAGTGCACATACAACACTGTACAGTGTACATACAACACTGTACAGTGAACATACTATACAACACAGTGTATATACAGTGTACATACAGCCGATTTTGTAATTATCTGGTTCAACATAATATCATTAATTTCCAACTCGGAAAAAACCTTTTCCTGACAAATCTGTAAAACTAAAAAAAAGAAACTAATTCAAAATTTTATTTTGTGCTTTTCTCACAATTCTGACATTCGTCATAAATGTTTATTTGGTATAAAATTAACATACTGATAATCCAAAAGAGTTAAAAACATTTTTATTTATTGTTTAGATATAAATTGGCATACATGGATTTGTTTGATTAACCAAATAAGTATTGAACTATTTATTTATGTTCATGAGAAGAGATTTCCGACTGACAATGAAATAGAAATCACAGGAGATGCAGGATAAAAATGTATTATTTGCCCACTGTTCATTCCTGCTTAAGTTTGTGATCGATTCGAGGAGTTTTTTCTTCCTAAATTTCAAAATCCAAATGAATTTTTTTTCGTAAATGTATAACTTTCATGCTTTAGAGATGACGCATTTGTAAACTTAATTTGATAAAATCCCAAAGGGGTTGAAAGATTTTGTGGCTTTTCATTCGTTCGAAATTATATAACTTGCCTATTTTAATTATATTAAGTATTTTTATTAAGATTTTTAATTGCACAAACGCCTACCTCCTCCCTCTCCTCAGAAAAGTTAATTTTCCGACATAATCATGCATTTTCATTGACAGGGTATAATTCGTTTTCATGCATGCATATTTGTAAAAATCCATTCTGGAGTTGAAATCACCAAAATTTGTAAATATCCAGGACAGCGGGGAAACTTCGTTCGTAGTCGTGGACAGCGATGAGTCGGTTCTCATCGAAGACGAACAATCCTAAACCAGTCTGCTCAAACATACAATCCTTCTCCTCCTTACCTACAACATATATCATTATAAACCTTTGAACGGGGTATATATTTAGAAGGATTAACCCCCCCCTGCTACTATAAAGTTATAGAATACCTTTAATTTTCTCTAGATGACAGGGTATATAGATTATCCCAACGAACTTCCCAGTCTTAACGTTAAAGAGGACAAGACGTTTAGAGTCTGCTACAGCCAGGAACGCGGCATTTGTGTAGATACACACAGATTCATCCCTTCACAGTACATTATTACAATATAAGACAGTACAGTACAGAACAGTACAGTACAGTACAGTAGAGTACAGTAGAGTAGAGTACAGTACAGTACAGTACAGTACAGTACAGTACAGTACAGTAATATACAGTACAGAAAAGTACAGAAAAGTACAGTTTAGTAAATTACAGTTCAGTACAGTACAGTACAATGCAGTAAATGATCGATGCATTTTTACAATATAACAAATGTGGATTGTTCAATGTATCACTATTTAGTTTAGTTTAGGTGAAACATAAATCATTTTCAAGAAACAAAAAAGTTTTCTTCTACGAATTCTTTTATTTTCTAGGAATTCTACAACAGGTTTACAAAAGTATTTTTTTACACAAATTGAACATGGCTGTAGCAAATAACTTAAAAACTCAAACCAATTTACAAAATGGAAAAATATTGAAGTATTTCAAGTAAAAATATGGGTATAACTCGTTCAATTTTCATGTTCGGTATTTTTTTGTAGTACATAGGAAAAACCTCTCCCGCTAAATTTGTTGAGACTTGTGCAGATTATTTCTTAAAAACTAATGATTTATGGTTGCAAAATGTCTAGTGCTCCGAAAAAAAGTTGTGCAAATCAGGTAAAAGGAAAGTCCAAGGAGTTGCAACACTGAGGTCAACAGTCTTGAAAATTTATGCAACTTTTGATACTGATCATTTTCTATTGGTTAACAATTACTTGAACTCAAGATAAACAGGTTTCAGTGCATCAAAAATGAGATATTCGCCAAAAGAAGGAGAAACTTTACTTTACAATATTTTTTTAGTCAGCATTTTGATCTGGGATAAACCTTTCACATTTCAAACTTAAACTTTTTATCTTTTTATGGAATAAAACATCAGAGTTAGACGCAATTCTTTAAAGTTTCTTTATCATCCAAATCATTTATAAATAAGTTTAAACAAATTAGAAAAAATAACCGTTCTTCTGATAAAGAGCAACCCCTTGGGATTATTTCATTCCAGGTTGGTTTAGGTCGGGTTTAGATAGATCTATAGTCACAGATTGTTGCGCTTTTTTCAGAGGAAGGGGGGGGGGGTCACTTTCAGCGAACATTTGATAGACAATATACGTATTGTACCTGCTAAGGCCATAGACAAGAAGATCTAATTGTATCTCATACATCAGCTGACCAAGGTAACTAGTAAAATAATTACTTATTATATCGTTGAAGGGACTGTGCGCGGAATTTCAAGTAACCCTTCGTCTGTAGAGTGGTGGAATCTTCGGCCGATGATTTTTTTTAAAAAGGGTGGACAAAATTCTTATTAGAACATCTTTATTTTTTTTGCCATCCTTTCTGATTATTTTTACCCCAAAATTAATTTTTTTTCTCCTATAAATGATTTATCCCCCCCTGGTTCAGTCCATAAACCTCTAAAAAAAATACCCACTAAAGTAGAAAAATTTTGCAAGACATTATATACCCCTGAACTATGAAATATATCTAACCTGTAAACACATATATTTCTGCCTAGCCTATACTCCGGGGCCGATTGAACTACACAGATCTGCTCTTTACCATTTACAAACAGTTGATAGTCACAGCTCATTACTCGATCCAGATCCTAGTATCATCATTAATGTCAGAATTAGAATCATTATTATTGTCATCATTATTGTCATCATTAGTGTCAAAATTAGAATCATTATTATTGTCATCATTGGTGTCAAAATTAGAATCATTATTATTGTCATCATTAGTAACAGCATTATTATCCGTATTATTATCAGCATTATTATCATCTTTAGTATCAGCATTATTATCATCATTAGTATCATCATTAGTATCATCATTAGAATCATCCTTATTATCATCATTAGAATCATCATTAGTATCATCATTAGTATCATCATTAGTACCATCATTAGTACCATTATTAGTATAATCAATATTCAGTATCAGTCTAAGATTTATCAAATTCATTCTCAAATAGAGTTATTAAGAAAGAAAATAGACTGTGAATAAATATATGAATAAAACAGTCCCTCATCAATCCAGGGTAGAGCCTGTCTCACCACACTATATGTAGGTGTACTTAAAGGGACCGTTCATTTATTTGGGTACTTTGAAGATTAACTAAATAGCCTATAAGCTATTCATTGGTATTGGCCTGAGAAAAAGCCTATTTATTATTCAGAATTCCAGCGCAAAGGTATGCTACCTTTGCATTTACACTATTTGATGCTTTTTGTCATAGTAATGGATTTTTTTTTTTTTTTAAATATTACATTGAATTGTTGTATCTAATAGTTAATTGTAGATATCTTTAATTTTTAAAATTATTTTTTTAATTGTCTATTTTCAAAATATAACTTATTTTAAACATTTGACAGTTTGATACGTTTCCCTGCTTCCTCAGGAATCCCTGTGATTTATTGAAGAGTCGAAATCTCGGAAACCGGTTTGTCTGAGAGAGAGAGTCGTCATTGTATAAACGTGTTAATTTGTTAAATCATATTCAAAATATCTTTGACAATTAAGACCAATAAATAGCTATAAATTGGCTAATTAGTTTAACATGAAATTACCCAAGTAAGTGAACGGTCTCTTAAGTACAAGCGGAATAAGGTAGTTGAGGATTTTAAAGGGAGTGACCAGCTATGTAAGGTAGTTGAACTGAGGACGCAGTGTTGTAGAAAACTTCTTTAGGATTCAGTTGAGACATATTTAACTTTTTCAAATAAAAAGTTTAATATGTCTCAACTGAATCCTAAAGAAGTTTTCCACAACACTGCGTCCTCAGTTCAACTACCTTACATAGCCGGTCACTCCCTTTAATGATATTTCTCAGAGGCGCTATACATGTAGTTAGTGTTGTATCAGCTGAAACCCTGTTTTCTCTCGGGTTTCTACAGACTCAGTGACCTCTACGCCGGAATATTAATCAAATACAGGTAGCAGTATGAGCAGACGCCAAGGGGGAGGGAGTTCCAGCAAGTCTAGGTAGGAAATGGGGGGAGGGAGAGACGGGGTTGTGCATTTGTGCATATACAAACCCTTGATATCCCACTTACCACTTGAGAGTCCCCTATCTTGACCTCCTCCTTGAGATTGTTCGCGTCGAACATAATGACTGTCCCGTCCTTCCTGACCAGGTAGATCTCCTCCGGATCCGTGTACAAAGCAACATCTGGAAAAAATTAATAAAAATTAAACCATTCCGTTGATTATTAGCGCCAGGGTCCGTCCTGGAAAAAAATGAGTTTTTCTTTTCTTAAAGTTGTATTATTAACTTTCCCAATGTCATACATTTTTATTGTAGGCACGCCCTAAACTAACCAGGGCGAGATACAGTCGGTGTCTTTAATTTGAATTCAATCGTGTTTTTGTAATTCAACAATCTTTAAACTTACGGAGTTATCTTTTCTTGAAAGAGAGAACGGTGATTTCTAAGAGAACGATTTTTTGACCCCCCTCCCTCCGCCGCCTCCTATCAATTTTGTACATGCATCTCAATTTAACATATTGAGTTGGTCATGTGGCCGCAGCGCCTGGCATCCAAGCCTGTCCTAGCCGCGGTGCTCGGCCCTCTAGCCTGTCCTAGTCGCAGTGCTCAGCCCCCTAGCCTATGCTAACCGCAGCACTCGGCCCAGAATGTGTCTTAACCTTACCAAACTCTAAGTATATACTAATTTTGTTGAAAATTGTTAAATTTGAAGGTCTGTCCTGGTCGCAGCGCTCGGCCCCCTAGCCTGTCCTATTCGAAGCGCTCAGCCCAGAAAGTTTCCTAACCCAACCTAACCCTTAAATAATACAAAATAAATATTTTGTTGTTGAAAATAGTTAAATCTAGGTCAGAATTGTCCAGAAATCGTGTTCTAGGACAGACCCGAGAGAAAAAAATATTTATTATAAGAAAGTCAAAGCATTCTTGATGAATTAGATATCTTAGATTCAGAAGTCTCTAATGAGTCAACACTTGAGAATTGTGTTTTCAGAGCAAACCTTTTTTTTTGTCTCCTTTGGTTGAACGTTTTTTTTAATAGAATTTGGATCTGTAAATCCACATGAAGAAAGATAAATCTTGTGGATCCGGATTTTAGGGCACTGCAGAGTGCAGTCCATTTCAAAGGGTTTACGTTTCTGGATTAAGGAGAAGGTATCATTTAACACTGAATATTATTTGATGAACTTTTCTAGAAACTGTTCTAAACAATCTTTAAATTCAACAAATTGTACAGAAAATATAAACCAAAGACAAATCCTAAAATTGAAATTCTCAAAAATTTCATTAAAATAAAAAAAGTAAAATCTTCCGTTTTTTATATTGCATTATCTTCCGAAGAACTTTAAAGATAAAAATGTTGAAATTAAAGGGACTGCTCAGTGCTCACTAAAACATTTGGTGGGTTTTCTACCAAAATATCGTTTTTTTTTGCATCACGGAATAATTAGGAAGATATTCTTTTTTTACTGTAGAAATCAAACCAACATTTTTTCTAAACACGATATGCTGGAAATAGGACATATCTAAAATTTCTGAACATTTATTTACCTGTAATATATTTTGTTGCATGAGTGGACCGCACCTTGGTTTCAATATCTCCTACATCAAGGGTAACTAGGCAGCAGTCCTGACCCTGCTTAATCTTGGTAAACAGAACCACAGCAGTATCCTTGTACGACCTGATGCATTATACTTTAGTAGAGCAAGGACCTTTTAAGGAGTGTCGGTGTAATTTCAAGTCCAATTCACAACAGTACCCTTTAAACCTTTATCTGAGTCCGAATTTAATAAATTTGAGCCGCGTCTCAAATCCACCAAAACCAGTTTCAATTGAGCGCCGCGGCTTAAATATTGAAACATTGACTACAATTTTAAGTGAAACCAGTCATTTTAGAGTCGCGTCTTAAATTTAAGCCACGGCTCAAATTCTTTAAATTCGGCCTCAGATTAATGTTATAAAATATATTGTCGTTTTTCTATTATTGTTTACGGGGGTTTATTAATGATAATTTTCCCCAATGCTATCTGCAGAAAAAAGTAAATTAGAAAAGACCACCACAATTAATAATTAAGAATTCTTAAAGAGTCAAGCATAAAAATGACTTACATTCTAAATGAGATAATATAAATAAAGTCACTTGAATCTAACAATCTAAGTACAGGACGGAGAGAGTCAAATTTAAAGTTTTCGCCATTCAAAAGTTAGTTTAAAAAATACTAAAATATTAAAAAATAATGAATGGTTTTCTTTTACAATTGATAAAATTCAATCATTACACATGTATAACAACACAATATTATTAGCAACAGCGTATGAGACAACAACATCAAAAATAATAATGATAACAATGATAATAATGATAATAATGATAATAATGATAATAATGATAATAATAATAATATTGATATTAAGGATATTAATGATAATGGTGATGATAATGAAAAAAATGATAATAATGATAATAATGATAACAATAACAATAACAATAATAACAATAACAATAACAATAACCATAACATCGATAAAAATCACGATCACAATCACAATAGCTATGGCAATAACATTAACAATAACAATAACAATAACAATAACAATAACAATAACAATAACTTTAACAATAACAATAACAATAACAATACCAATAACAATAACAATAACAACAACAATAACAATAACATTAACAATAACAATAATGATAACAATAACAATAACAATAATCATCTCTTAAAAGGGGAAAATTTACCTAATTTGCTGACACTCAAAGCTGATAGATACTTGAGTAAGACTGATTTCCGTTAACAGAGTACAATCTGGTAGAGAGGTAACAATAACCCTCCAGTCAGGGGCTCTACAGATCACTAGGGCCTAGATAAAAACTTTTAAATCCCTTAAATCTGAATGTAAAAAGTGGTGATCTCTATCATTGCTCAAAAACCCTTTTGACAGATTTGCCTCCAATCGATTAAGGAATTCGTAAAATGTTCTTATCTTGATTTAAAGCGTTGGCAGGACTTTTTCTAGTGGGGAGGGGGG